AGCTCTTTTATCCCAGCTGCCCTCAATTTTACGGCACAATTTCTTCATATCAGTAGTAATTTTTCTGTTATTTCTTAAGGTATGTTGTACTAAAAAATTCATGTTCTCAGTAAACATATTAACAGCTCTGCGTAGAGAAATTTCTATTGGGATATGTTCATGGGGAACTTGAGGTGTAGAGTAATCACTAGACAACAATTTTGATTTCCTACTAGTAGAATCACTATCAGAACTATCAGGAATTTTTTCACGCGCAGGTGTAGGGGAAATATTTAAGGCTCCTCTTCCATGAAGCGGTGTTGGCGGTTGATTTTGCCTTTCTCCAGGTGTTGATAAGTCCCTTGAAGAGATCTCCCAAGGCGTACCATCTCTTCGTAGATTTGGCTGCGCCATTGAGTGTTCCTCCCCGTATTCCTTGGGTGTCTTGAATGGGTATTCCTCCCTCTGCGACTCAGGGGTCTCATTGATCCTTCTTGAAGGTCCGGCGCTTCTCGTGGTTGAAGGAGACTCTCCGCCGACACGTTTAGTGGGTTCCAACCCTTGGTTCTTTTGAGGGTCGTCGTCATTCCTCTTAGATCTATCATCGCTTGGAAATCCTCCCGGCAATACTTTAGATGAGCTCTGATGGCCGAGTAACTGCTGCGGTTGCGCACATCCTTCAACCATTCCTTGTTGGTCTTCATCCTGTAGTAATAGCACTCGAATTTCTCCTCCTTGGGAACTGTTAGTAGGAGATGTTAGTTTCTTTTTCGACGCGTAAATTATTTTATCCTTATTCTTTGGTAAAACTGACGCTGGTGGAAATCCTCTCTGGGATGGTGGAGCGTCTCTGGTCCTTCCATTATAACCTCTAAGTCTAAGAGAAGGTGGAGACATGGTAAAAAAAAAAGGTCTTAGTAGGAAAATTTAACCCGGTGAAAATTGATAATAAAAAACATGTAGAGGTGTTAAATTTACCTGAGGATTTATCTGAGGCAACTACTGAGGCTTCCCTATTAGTTGTTTGAGGAGATTGGGCTCTATTGTCTCTTGGCGCAGTGTTTTTGTCGTGTACTTCCAAGTTTTGGATGTTAGCGCTAAGGGTGCTGTTGACGGCGGACACTGTTACACAACCAATTTTTGAGCTTTTTCAGAAATTTTTTGTTCGAGAGATAAGTTCAGAAGCTAAGGAACACGCTCAACTTTTCAGAATGAAATATTTCAAGGTACTTCTGGTCGAAAACTTGAGAGGTCGGTGTTTGCTACTGAAACTGGGTGAAGGAGTTGAGTGAGGATGGAAAGGAAGGTGGCGCTGGATACGTCTTATAAAGGCGATGAGTTCTGTATCTTGTTTGTCGATGTAGTTCAAATAATGAAGGAGCTACACTCTCTCAAAGATCAGGAAAGATCACTTTCGACGATTTTAGTAGGAGGGGTGATGTACTAGGCGGGAGTGGTAGTACGGAAGATCTGTATGTATGTAGATCCTTGCAGATCCTGGCAAATCCGGGGTGTATTGAGTTGTAACTGTGTAATACGGCCTGCAGAACCTTATGTACACGTGAGATAACTCTATTTTTAGACTTCGACCAGGTGTATTAGGCTTCGACCAGGTACTAATCCCTCGAGATGATGGGTAAATGAGACTAGATCCGCTCACGCCGTAGGAATGGTAGACTTTCAAGGCTCAGGAAAAAAAACCTAGGAGTGTAAACAGGGTACGGCGGATCGAATGGTCGACTCAGATTGTTTGTATCTGTTATGGTTCTCTCTCCGTGATAGTGTAAAGTGACTCAGACTGAAAAAATAAGACTTTTTGAAGGGATACGGGCGTATTTTTTAAGGGTTTTTAATTTTTTCTGTGTGGATGAATCAAATGGAGATATAATGAAATATTTTTGTGATTTTTTGTGGCACGAGATGAGTAAAACAGATAGCGCAAGAATTTTATTTTTGTGTTTTTTGGTGTTTTTATTTTCTGATACTAAGGAAATGAGATGAGATGAGGATAAAAACAAGCTTAAATTAATTCTAAATCCGTGAGATCTATGATTATAGAGTTGGGTTGAGGCGGAGAACAAGCAGTGAAAGGTGGAAGAGTGTAGTAGCGGACAGTTCTAGACAAGATGTTAGGAGGGAAGAGTTCTATATTTAGGGGTTTCTTCTAACGCTGTAAAGAAGTTATTCCTGTTTGTTTCTACTGTTTTTCTATGATAGACTCGTCTTCTTCTACAAGATTTATGAGGATATATTCAGGGGAATAGGTAGAATGAAGGGTACAATGGTAGCGCTTAGTTTCTATGTAGTTCCAGAATCTATCTTCTGCTTCTGTTACTTTCACTTTTTCTACTCTTTCAATAACTGTAATGTTATCCGGGTGGTTGTGGTAATATCTACTAGCTTCTTCTGCAATTGTACTATCTATTTGTCTAATAAATGGCAAAACTTCCGGCATTTGTTCTTCAGAAGGCCATTGTTAGTAGTGAATGTTTTGGGGACAAAAGGTAAAAGAAGCACGGAGATATGTTAGTCACGGAATTCCAATTAGGCCAGACCCCCAATTGTCAGCCTCTGGGTAACTAACCTGAGTATTTAATAGTAAAAAGGTTGTTACTATGAGTTGACTGAAGTTTTTGAGCGTGGTGAGTGTTAGGTAGTGGGTGATTAATACCAGTCCTGTAAAGAGGAGGTTTCACTCTATCAGTATGGTCTTTACTGAGAGGCTTGCTATCAACAGCGCATCCGGATCAATACAAGGTATTAATAGGCATCCAGGGTACTAAGACTCACCTGGGATTGATTTGGTTATTCCCCAAAGGGAATGGGCTAACAATACTTATTAAGCTTTAACAAAATTAGTTGAAGATTAACAGGTATTGTTGATGGGAATATTCAGCAAGGCTATGAATACTGTGGATAAGTTGAGTAAGAGTACTGAAGCTTAAGAACAATAAATGTAGACAAGATTTATGTTGGTTACGGGTACTGTATCAATATAAATGTTAACTGGTTTAACTGGTGTCTGAATATTCTGGGGATTAATCAGTGGAAGTGGCACGGATTATAAGTTCCAGAATACTGAAGGGGGAAAGAATGAGCGCTCAGAATCAAGGGAGCTTTGGCCAGGAGAATGAGCACATCAATTGAGTGACTGATCATTATTTGTCATGATCTGTAAGTGACATCATAATTGTGTACTAGTTGATTAATGTACTAGTTGCTCTTGATGTGTACTTAACAGATCCTCTAATAATGTAGTCATAATTGTGATCTGTGCATGTATTGAATGTATTAATTCTATTGACACTTAATACTTACTATTTAATACATGTACATATTTATTTGTAATAATATTTGACCGTGAAAATACTGTAGCAGAGGGATAACTTGTGGTACAGGTATTTCACGGACAAGGGAGTGAAAGGTAAGTGATAATTACTTATGTAGAACACAGGTATGTATTTAAATAGATAAGTAATTAACAGATAAGATAAATGTAAGATAAATAGGATAAGATAAGTTAATGATAATAATAAGATAACAAGAGGTAAAGGTAATCAACATTATGGATAAGTACTTGTGTACATAAGTACAGGTGTTGCAGTTACTTGGTACATGAAAGGTACTGTGACATGTACTCTGTGGCTGACAATTGGTGTCCAGCTCACGTCGGCATTCTTGAAAATGAAAAAGTTGACGAACTCGCCAAATCTGCTACTCTCACTTCACATCCTAATCATCTTATTAATCAACAACGGTCACTATCGAATATCCAACAGATTGCTCGTTCAAGATTCAAATTCAACAAAAACAAAAGATCAATCATTCGCAACAAAATCCGTCTGTCTACAACTCCAATCAAAATCTTTGAATCTCTAGATCAACTCGAAAGAAGCGCCAGTTCCATCATTTATCAACTTCGCTCCGGCCACTGTGCTCTCAACACATATCTCTTCTTCATCAAAAAACTCGAATCTCCAAATTGTGAATTTTGCAACGCTCCAGAAGACATCAAACACTTCTTAGTCTATTGTCCGAAATTCGATCTCCAAAGAAAATCATTCAGAAACTCTCTTACGTCAGAAAAAATCAAAATCGATGTCAACTCAGTCAAAAGCTTACTCGACACACCGAAATGTTTCAAACTCCTCTCGGAATTCATCATCAACACTCACAGATTCAAAAATCTAAAAAATTATTTAGAAAAAGAAGAAAATTAAAAAAAAAAAAAAATAATAATAATAATAAAAAAAAAAAAAAAATATATATATAATAATAATAATAAATTTCTATTATTCTTTTCTCTCACTTTCTTTGGTTAAAAGTTATCATTTTCTTTGGTCTAAAAGTTATCATTTTCTTTGGTCAAAAGTCATCATTTTCTTTGGTCAAAAGTTATCAATTCCTTTGGTTAAAAGTCATCAAAAAAGTTATCAATTTCTAGCGCATCATTCTTCACCACACTTCTTCTTATCACACAGGTACATCAATATCGGTAGGGATATTGGGCTGGATACAAGAGTCGGACGAACGAGTTTGACTTTCTCCTGCTTCCAAAACGAGGGTTTGTGGTTTAGGGCACCACAAAATACTCTGTCTGGTCCACAGAGTATGGAAAGTTGAACTCGTTCGACCTTCCCTATTTTCAGACCCAAAAAAAGAGTCGGAACCACTTTCTTTTTTCGTTTTTTGTCTATCTTCTTTCTCCTTTTTCTTTTCGCATCAATCTCGCCAGTCTTCAACAACCAGATTCTTAATCTAGAAGAATAAAATACTATTAAAATTTCATTGTAAATAGTATTCTCAAACAATCAGTTCAAAAAACGTCATCGCATGTATCTAAATAGAAGTATTACTTAAGTGCGCAATGTAAAAACAATCAGCACTAAAAAAAAAAAAAAAAAAAAAAAAAAAAAAAAAAAAAAAAGTTGAAAACATTTGTCCTCTGCCCGCGTTTTGTTGCTCGTCAATTAAAAGGGGTTATGTACACACACTTGGGGCGAGTCATCGGCGATTAGTGCTCATTGCTCTACCCGAACAAAGGTCCCGAACAACGAGTTGGCTGAGGAAATTATGAAATGGTAAGGAACCGGCTCTCAGGACCTCACCGGTTGCTGGAACAGCCGTTGCCGTTGTAACTCACGAGAACCGCACAGACAAACGATTTCCACCGCTTGATCATGGATGTTGGTCTGTTTTTTTTTAGCCTTTGGATCCAAAATGTTGGTGCGAAAGATGAGTCGATGCTTTCCGCGGACCGTACACCGCCGGGCTATCCCGATGTTTGCCCAACCAAACACGGAGCGTGCGTCATACCATGCGTTTTGGCTGGCTGACCGACGGTGGTCCAGGGTTTTGAGGTCACCCTGAAGGGTGTGTCGATCGGTTGTCTGACCATCCTCCGTCGGTGGCCCTACCATCCTCCAACTTCATGATGGGTTGGACCCGAGCTTAACTAATCCTCTCGTGACGAGAGTCGTTTGCGGGCAGGTCTGGGCGGCAGCCCAGTCTCGTCAGAGAGGCTTACAACGTATTACTCAAAGCCCGCATGAGGCAGGCATGATTTTGAGGTCCTTTTTTGTGTTTTCCCCTCTGTTTTTGATGTTATTGCTCTCAAAATTTCATTGTGCTTTTTTTCTTGTTCTATGACATCTCCTTGATCTATCTGTATTTTTTCATATTTTTATTTCCATACCAATCTTTTTTAAAAGAACAAACAGAAAAAAGACAAATTCTCATTTTGCAGGCATAAAATATGCTTATACTGAGAGTGCGCTCGAGCCTCTCTGCCAAATTTCCAAATCAAAGTTCAAAATCATGAACTTCACTGCATGTTTTCTACCAGAACCAAACTGGTTTTTGCAATGAAAAAAATATCTAAAAATCTGGATTACGTAGATCTTTCATCCACATGAATTATAAATAAATTTGAGTTGTAATGAATGAGTGGTGGGGCAAACAAGGTCGCCACCACCAAAACGGTGCTTCTGGGTCACACCGCAAATGCGTTTTAAGTTTCAAGTCCCTCCCTGCGGGAGGGGGCGCTTCGCGCCCAGCCAGTCACACCAGCGAGCCTCCCACCAGGGGGACTTGTGTTAAGTTCGGGTTGGACCATCGTGGGTGGATCGTTGGAACGCGGTGGGTCACGGTCATCAAGCTACCCAACAAAAAAAATCTGGGAAGCTGGGTCCATGGGACTTGAACCTGCGACCCACGTTATGTGCTCATCGAAGCAACCAATCATTATAACCAATGACCGAGGCTGCCTTGATAACCGAGAAGTCGGTAGGCTTCATGAACCCACGTTCTTTTCTTTGGCTGTTCTTTTTTTTTGACAAAGTTATTTTTTTTGTTGCCAAATTTTGTTGATTCTAAATCAACTTTTGTCGAAGAGTTAACAGAAAACAAAGCGAATGAGCTGGTTTTCTGGTAAGAAAAAAAATCCCTTCCTGCGTTGGTCCAACCACGCTCGAACGTTGGGGGAAGAGTAGAATCGCGGTGCGAAAGCGTCCACCCAACATCAAAAGGCTCAGGTCTTTTGTATGACCCACGGCGGAGCTTTCCTCCTCCGTCTGGCCAACGGTGGAAGACCCACCGTTGTCCAGCCATCTCCTGACAATGGACCGACCAAACCCCCTGGCTCACCGTCAGGGGATGGTTGGTCACTCGTCGGAGATTCTGCATGGTTGGAGCGAGCCTGGCTCCAACCATCCTCCGACGCTGCCGTTGGACCGTAGTCGGCGGGGTTGGGGCGAGACTCACAATACCCCCTACCGTCGTCCAACCCACACCGATCAAAAAAAGTGACCCGGTGGTGTAGTGTAAGCCAAGCCGGAGGAAAATGAAATGGGTTGCCGGACATGACACGTTCATCATAATGATCAAGTTGAAGAATCATCCTTTTGAGATCGAGGTCTGTCGACAGTCTACTAGGATTGATGCGTACATATAAATGCCATGAAGGAGACACACTCAATTGAAGCTATAGCCTACACCACAGGAGCGATCGAGAGATCCTCCGACGTTCCCCAAACCGTGGCAGATGGCACGCGTCCTAGCAACTGATGGGACCGCGAGGGAACGTCAGAGTTTAATTGACGGTGACGCAACCACCTTCCGACGCTCTTGAAACCTTGACGTCCGACCCGACTGTCTCGTTTGGGGCCACTCCGGCTCTCCGGACGCTTCAGTCCCTACAACACCTGATGACACGTTCAGAAGACGATGGCGCGGACATAGGCGTCCTCTGGCTACCTGGGTTCCACCAACGGTTCAAATGAGCGTCCAAGGGACAGTTCCCTGAACCCCGAACATTATGGGAACGTTAGGGTTTTTTGGACAGCTCTGTGGAGCGTTGGGGGGACACATACCACAACCAAGGAGCTCACAGGACGTTTGGATCCCCTGAACGATGGGATCATACGTTGGTGGAGCGGAGGCCTACGACCACCGGGTCAAGAGGACATGACAAAACGTCCTCAAACCACTGGGCCGACTGGATGGTTCAACCTCGCTTTAGAGGAGAAATAATAAAGCTGACAGCTCACCATTAGATGTCAATTGGGATGTACCCACATCCAAAGCGCTCATCAACAGCATGTAAATTATACATTCTATTCTTTTTGGTCAGTCTAATGTTTGTTATTGTGTAATAAGAAATAACATGACAATAAAAACTTTTATGTGTAATAACTCTTATGTGTGGAGAGTGCGGACGATGAAGTGGATTGAATTACTAAGATGTCTGTGATTAAGCTAACTGGTCAATCTCGACAATTTGACGGATAGCTTCTAAAGTACCCGCGACAATCAAGGCACTTGGGCCAAAGCCAAAACCAATCTCTTCCAATTTTTCTTGAGTTGCCCCTTTAAAAGCGCTCCAATGGAAGATCAAATGTTTCTCAAAGAGGCCTTGAATTTGCTTGTTATTGATGTCGAGCTTGCATAACTCCATGAAATCTGCAAGCGATAAGTCTTCCGGAACAGGAGGGGGAGCGGGTCGATGGGCTATTGGAGGCCCAGGTAGATGCAAGGGGGTATTGCGGGCGATGGCGATTGCGTTTTTGTTGGCAACCTGAATTGGAAAGGAAAGGAAAAATTAGCTTGGAAAAACTTGGTTTAATTCAGACATAAAAGGACATGTACTTCATCGAATTCTTGATCAAGTTGAATGGCGATTGAAACATATGCCTCAGCAGATGAGCGGTTCAAAGAATTCCTAAACTCTGCAAAGTGTTGCTCGCCACCGCCACGAGTATCCAAAGACCACGCTCGCAAGGGGTTGACTTCGGTAATGAGATAGCCAAATTGAATTCGAGATTGATTGTAGGCTTCTTCAAGTAAGATTTGCAACATTGGCATGCCGGTGTGGAACTACTCAACCAGGGAGATAGAGCTTGGAGGGGATATAGACAACTACACTAGTACTAATGTAAGTTGAGACTACAGGTGCTGATGAGGCTGCCCTCCTGTACAGTGCTGATGGGAAGAGTGTAACACTAAGAAAAAGAAGAATAGAGGTGTGGCTGATTTCTACTTTATCTTAGACTACTATTACTGATGAGCTTGTGTATGTAGTACCTACTGAGGTGTGAGGAGGAGGAGCAATGAGGTGTGATGGGATAATACTGGCAAGGGTGTAACAATGGCAATGAGGAATAACACTGGCAAAGGGGATAATCTGGCAAATGAGAATTTATAACTGGCAAGGGGGTTTATAGCTGGCAAATATAACTGGCAATGATATCTGGTAAAGATATAAGGGTGATACTAGTATTCTGATTTCTAAGACTATGGTTAGAGGGTACATATGAAAACTGGCATAAGGGGGAAAATACATGAGAGGGAAGAAAGAGTATATATGTGTACAACATGTACATGCAACAACAAAGCACCATAGCTGGGGAAATCCTGGCTATGGGCAATGTAAGTCTTAAACAGTAATGAGTGATGAGAAATAAAGTAACCTAGAGATAGATGTTCTGTGTATACAAGTGCTAATCATAGATGGAAAGTCAAAGCTGTGTGAAAAGAAATATGTATATGATGTATGTAGTTAAGGTTATGCTGAGTATGTAGTATTGGTGATGTACCATGATGAAGGAGTGATGCTACATAGATACTTTAACTAGATAATGAATGCTTTATATGTACTGTATGTATAAAGTAATGTACTGTTCTGTAACTATGAATATACTGAAATGATGATAACTAGAGAACTATAAGAGATACTGAAAAGCTGTAAGAGGTGACTAGGGGTGAAATGATGTGTAGAATCTGAATATGAAATAATACTGGGAAGAATATCTGTAAAATGATGTGAAAAATGAGTATACATGGAAAGGTATGGACATACCACACCGGGTGTAGAATCGGCTAATCTTTCGAATATTAAATCCTTGAGTTCGGTAAACAACAAGACGCCTGCATTAAAATCGATTTGAAAGGAAGGAGTGTTGGGGTCTATAACTTCAAACACGGTCTCGCCCATGCCAGAAAAAGGATGTCGATCTAATATGAAATGATTGTCTATCCACAATGAGCACCTTATTTTAACTGTGGTCATTACTGGAGCCGGAGGAAGGTTGATGTGATTTTCATTCGCCAAAACGATACCAGCCGGCTCTGAGCCGTTGTTGGAGGGGTTGTTCAATATTTGAACAAGTGATGCATCCCTGAGTGGGCTCGTATCGGATCTGTTTAATGCGGGATCCAAGTGATTGGCCTGAAAGTAAGAGCCAAAGGCTATGTACGATCAGATTAAGATGCAAACAAGTCGTTTGATTATCATGAAAGACCCACTGGTCGGTTCAACTTGACGCTGATCGAAATGTACGCCTCATCGTAGACATTCCTCAAGGCACAAATGAAGTCCTCAAATCCTTGCTCGTTTGATGAATCCATAGCCCACGTGCGCAATGGGTTCTCTTGTCGAATGGAATATGCCCATTCTATTCAAGATTAGCGGTTCGCTTCACTCAATACGGCTAGTAAGTTGGGGATGTTGAGTGCACACGATTGGATGTGTTCAAAGATCGATTGGGAGAACTCGATGAAGCTTGGACTTTCGGACTCAAAATCGAGGTGACAAGGGTTTGTGTTGACATCGGCGACCTGATAAGCGATTTGACCGGCACCAAGATACGGAACTCGGTCAGTGACGAGCTGATCTCCTATCCACAAGTGGCATCGGATGACGATAGTGGGAGACAATCTGATTGGATTGTTTGAGTCAGAGTGAGAATTCAATAGGACATCGGTCATTTTGCTTGTAGTCGTGGAATGTAAAAATTGAAAGGCAAGTGAGTCTGGTCTGGGGGTACCAATGACCGTTCAATGGAAATTTATTGTTGATTGCAACTGATAAATCGGTTGACTGGGGCTTTGAAATGGACACAGTGGCAGTGCAACATCAGGTCATGCAAATAATGTGCTATTATTTCAACCATGTGTGATTCAAATTACAAAGAAAATAAACGATAATTAACGGTTGAAATGCGGTGTTGGGGTCCTTTGAGGACTCATCACTGGAGTCTCATCAAAGTCGGAGTCGGGACAATTTGGAGGAGGGGGAACAAGAATACTAAATACTCCCCAATTGGCCAACCCAGTCTGACATACCTCAAGCCAAGCCCCAGGCGATATCGCGGTGATGGGCAGATCAGCTAATCGTCTGTGGTGTTCAGGTGCATGCAAAGAAGCTGAGTTGAGAACAAAGTAACAATGATCCTTGTGTGTTACCTCTGGAGTCTTGATGGTGGTATTTAGCCTTTCAATACGGGTACTCCTTGTACTAAGAACTTTACACTTTCCGGTGTAACAGTCATGTTGCAGATTCAAAGTGGATTTGATCATCTATCATATATATCACGCAATCAATACTTATAAAAAATTGCAGGGCCAGTTAAGGAGAAAATACTTACGTCTGATTGAACTAGCCTATTTTGGTTGGATTTGACAAACTGGCGCATCCGATAAAAGGGATGAATCTGAGAGCGGTCTAATTTGGTGACATTGACAAAGAAGATCCCAGTAACACGCCATATAGAATTTACACAACCAATGTACTCCAGATTAGATGATGCTACCTGCAAATAAAATGGGATCACCTTGCAAATTGGTCAACAAGAATAGATGAATAAATAGAAACAAACAGCAGAAAAGGAAATTTCAAGAGTGATCTTACAAGAATGAAGCTGCCTTTTTTGACAACTTCATGGGCATTTATTTGGAGTTGGGAGATTTGATGTATTTGGACATCAGGGAACATTTCTTTGAGGGAATTGGGAATTCCAACTTCATCGTCTGGATTCAACGTTGACCTCTTTTGGAAGGGATAATGAGTCATTGGATCTGAATTTTCGGAGTTGTATCCAAAGGACTTCTGAACAATAGGGTTTTGGCTGAAGAAGTTGACCATTTGCAGAGAACATACTGAGATGGTATCAGTGAGTTTGTTATAAATGACCCCCCCTGACAAGAGAAATCGTAAACATTGGTAGTTGGCAAAACTATTGGCTATATCTCTTCCAGGTGCTTGCTTGTTGGAGTGTGTTGACACATTTCGGAGGACCCCATTAAAAGACTCGAATTTCTCCGTAGAACAAAGTGGTGCTGTGCCAAATCGTTCGATGGATTGAGGAAGGTGGAAGAGCATATGGAATTTCGGCTTGTTGATCCATTGGGCGGTAAACTTGATTAGCCGGGACATGAAAATCTGAATGTGTTTCTTGAGCTCAATTTGATAAGATGCCATATGGCTGATATGAGTTTGGAAAATGTAGGAGGACAGTTGACAAAGAGCAAACCAGAGGTCTTGCTCATCTGGAGTCATGAATGGGAAGAAGACAAAGGGGATTGCTTGGAGAAATATTTTAAAGTCTTTGCCAACTAAAGACTGTGAATGATTGATGAGATACCACGGCTTGAGAAGAGCAATATTCAAAGATTTGGTGTCAAAAGATTGGAGGCGTCCAACTAATTCGGCAACTTTTTTCTTGTCTTTCTTGATCTTCTGGAGGAAATCTCGGACAAGATACTTCACAACCCCAAGAAGGAAGACATGCAATATTTCAAAAGGAGTGTCATTACATCCATCAAATCCTGTTTGAAATTTTGAAGTGAATGAAAATCAAACATAAGTCAATTTATGTATTTATGATCACAATTTAGATAGATAGAAATGAAACAATTACCAAGGAGTTTGAGGAAAGGATTAAACAATTCAGTCACATCTGATTTGATAAGTTCATTAGCTTTTTCAACCACTGGTTTAACTTTCTTCCGTTGGCCTTCCATGAATTGATTGTTGATTGAATCTGTAACCCCGTAAGTTGGCCTCAAAGTCTTGACAGCAGTGATGTTTTTGGTGCGATAAGTATTGTAGAGTTCATAGGTGTTTTCAATTGTTTTGGTCCAAACGCGGGGCTTGTTGGGTGATGGAAAACCATTAGGCTGAAGCTGCAAGAATTGTAGTAAATAATCGACTGAATGTTTATCAATCATCTTGGGTGAATGTAAAGTGCACATCCGACAAGGGTTCAGTGAAGTTCCGGGGTTGGGTGTGTTTGTTATCTCTGCATGCATAGGCGAATCTGCTAGGAAACATAACATCATACTCATAACATAGACTGGCTGAGAAATTGACACATCGTATGCCTCAAAGCCATCTACAATCATTTGACTTTGGAAAATCAAAAAAATTAGCCAAAGCAAAAAAACAAAACAGATGGATTTGGGAACAGTGGGAATAAATAAAACTGACTTGGACTCCTTGATTATTTGATTCGCAATTTCCAAAACCCCTGCACGGTTGGATGTGGACAAGAAGTGACAGTTGTACTCTTGATTGGTGATATTAGGAGGCAGGCCAGATAAAGTAAAATAAAATGAGATGTGTTTGTTAAACTGTTTGGATACATTTCCAGAAGTGTCATCAGAGTACATTGTTGTTGGAACGTGGCGAATGATTTTTCCCCCTGCTTTTTGACGCCAAGGGTTGGGAAATTTGAGCTCCTGACATTGTTCCTCATTTTCTTTGGTTTGATAGAACTTGTTCCCACAAAGAGTTGATAAAAATTGACCGCAGTTGAGTTTGATTTCGGAATAGTCATTCTTGAAGTCCTCAACCCGGTTGATTTGTAAGGTGACGTCCATGAATGAAATGTTGGATGGAATGAATAATTGGACGGATGTGGCAGTTTGGTAGTTTATTTGAGGGATACAGCACTTGGAATAAAGTTCAGAATTTATTGAGTAATAGAAGATTGGAACCAGAATTTGATGGCCAAATGTTTCCAGAGGCTCAAAGATGTAGAAATGACGATTATTGTTTGCACACATCTGAGGTCTCATTTCCATAGGCAGCTCCTCCAGCCATTTTTTGGACTGGGAAAATTTATAGGTTTCACCGCCATTTGAGTCTTCTGGATAAAATTCTAAATGTGGAGCTACATGGGGATTTGCAAGCTCCTAAGAAAATTTTCTGTGTTAGTCTTGGGAACATAAGGAAAAAGGGGAATTTAGATGAAGTCTCTTACATTTTTTAAAATTTTCTTCATCCCAACAGAAGCACAAGGCGTCCCCCAAACACTGGAGTCAAATTGTATTTCCATGTCTAGATGCTTCCGAATGCGTGCCTGTGCACGACGGATTGTTGACCACGCTGGGATTTTCATTTGACACAGCGTACCAAATATGACTCGTACCTCATCGTACACAACCCTGGACATTATATGTCTTGTGTAGCCGATCATGAGGGAGCCTACTAACTCCTTTTATTCAGATAAGTTTTGGGTCAGCTTCTCGTCAATTCTCTCACTTCTTAATACCTAAACTGACCATTTTATTCTTGAAAGGAAACCACAGACTGTCCCAATTAGCATCCTCCTCGTCGGCTTGTTCATTTAGCTCCTCGCCCGCTCGGTCTGTGTCCCCCGCTCGCTCTTGGTAATTGGCATCCATCTCTTCGTATAGCCAATCCATTCGATTATAATCCTCTGGCGCGTGCGGACTTGTCTCCTTCGGATCGAAGAAGTCTTCTGCAGTCATGGCCGAAATGAGATCCAATGCATGGCGTAGTTGATGTGCATGTTTTTCCTTCTCTTGATCAATAGTATCTGCAGTAATGTTTGATTGTTCAATCTCTTCGTTTATTTCCACATCATCATTCCTCAATTCCTTTCCACTCCTTTCCGCTTCGACTTCATCACCACGTCCTGGGACACCAAGATCGAAGTTCTCCAATGGATGATTTGATTCTATTCTGCTTCGAGGAGTCTGACCAACGCGATTTCTCTGATCCTTTAATTTTTTTTGATGTGACTCCAATGTCCGATGAATCGAAATGCGCTTCTTTGTCATGGTCCTCGACCCACACACATCACAGGTGAAAAGATTGGTGTTTGGAACTGGTGTAAACCCTGTCAACAAAGTAAGTCAGCTTAGATTGTCAATGTCTGACAGATGCATGACAAAGTGACAATCCAACAAACCCTCAATCATTTTGAATTTCAGCTAATTCCAATGTCAGATCGAATCTCGTAACCGAACAATCCAAAAAGCCAGAACCTGAAGATTGAATCTTGTAACCGAACGAAAAGAATCCAATTTTGACGGCAATGATTTCAGTCTTTCTCTTTCTTGGTTATTTCTTGTTGAAGTTTCACCTGTTTTTTTCCAGTTTCACGTTGCACCATTAAAGGTTTTTCTTGATGACTCAACACCCAATCGACGGTAACACCCGATCAACCGTTTTTCTCAATTGATCCCCAGTTTCTCGATCGATCACCAGCGGGAACACCACCCAATCGACGGAAACGCGCTCTATTGACCGTTTTCCTCAATTGATCCATGCTCTCTCGATCGGGTTCCCAAATGAAGATTGTTGCAGGCATGAGCAATCATCTGACCAGCCATTGAAGCTCGCTCACCCAACGATCAGGTTTTTTCATTTGCTTTTTAATCTCCTCTTTGACGTCTGACCAGCGGTGGCATGTCGGTCCTTTCCAGCCAGCCAACCCCAACCAAGTTTCTATAAATCTCACCGTCAATCATCTTTCCTTGATCATCCCCATCCTCAAATTCACCTGTCATCATTTCCAACTTCACTTAACCTCCTTGACATCCTTCGATCTCCTTACCTGAAATCCTTCCAGCCCTTCTTCCACATCATGTCACACATAATTAACCAACAACATGCCGCCTCCCGTAGTTTGATGCACCCCCCACAAAGAGGCATGACTGGCAACTTGATGCCTCCTCCGAGTCGACCCGCATCTCAGCAGATGCATTCTTCCTCTCAACAAGCCCCGCCAGGATTAACCCCAATCGGTAAGTTGTCTTTGTCCCTTTTGATTGGTTAAACAAAGAGGTAACTCAACCCTTCATCCAGTCCCGCCACATCTTCAAGTCCCTCCAAACAACAGACCAATTCCCTCTAATCCCCTCGCCGTGCCCGTCTCTGCTCCGGTCTACCCCCCCGCTCCATTGAGAGCTAATGCTCCCATGGGGCCCGGTGGCTATAATATTCATCAGGCAAACGGTCATGATGACAGCTCCCGACCTCGTTTTGACCCCCAATCCCGACCAGATGCTTACCCCGATCACGGAACCAACAACGCTGGCCACCCCCATTCTCGAGTCGATTCCCACCCAGATCCCCGAGCTGACCACACTGGTAATCATCATAACCCCCATGCGCAAGCCGAAGCGTATGCCGATCACCAAACCGACAACCCCGGTCCTCGTCATAACCCCCGTTCTCCAGCCAATGCCGATCACAGAATCAACCACGCTGGTCAACTTTTCCCAATCGTTGGAGAAGATGGACACCTTACTAACCCCTATCGTACGGAGGAAGACGGTCCGGACTCTCCTCCCGGGCTTCCCACTAACCCCCTCCTCCTCCCAGACAGTCAAGCGATCTTTTATGGTGGTAGTCCCGATGGACCTCCCGAGCATCCATTAGTTCCAACTATGTTAACTAATATCGATCATGAAAGCTTGCAAGCCATCTTTGGTTTGCCGGAGGAAAAAATACAAGTCGCTAAAAGAATCCTTGCAGTATGTATTCTCATTCTTTCCGGATTCCTTCTAGATTCACTCCCTCATTTGTGTGTTTCCTCTACAGATGACCGAGGCCAATATCATGGGTGCTATAGTATATGGCTTAGTAGCCAATCACCCCATTCCTCCCAATGATGCTCCTGACCCTGCTGGTGATCGGGTGATTACAAACAACACTGTAGACCCGGCCCCCCCTTCTGTTGCCAATGTGCCGACAGACATCAGGCATTTCCTCTACAGTGACTACATCAAGGTAAGCCAATGTTTCTCTTCTTAACCATTGTCTTCGATTTTTCCTCTCCTTAACTGATGTTCATTGATTGTTGTACCTTTAGGATGAAATCCGTGACTTCATCCGTCGCAAGATGCCTGAATCGAGGATTATCGCTTATCGTTGCCCCCCCGATGGTGAAGGAACCGCAGAAATTGGTTCGGTTTTTCTTTCCACTCAGATTGGTCTTCTTGGAGCTTTTTCATTGAAAGCACCTCTGATTCCGCATCAAGCATACATACATATACCAATGAACGCTATTTCTAAACCCAGACATGACCAAATGAACTCCCCGGGTTCCGAACGGAAATAGTCAAGCCCGACGCAGTGTCCTAAGGTTGGTTCAAGGGCTTTGAAGCATGATCGGGT